TCCTAATCCCATAAGGCAATTGGATATTCCCTGGAACAACAATGTCTGATGCTTAATATACCTATAAGAAGTCAATATCCACTAATATTATGTGCATTTAAGAATACATCCAGATTGTTTTAAACAATTAACTGAGCTAGCTAGAACTGGCTCCTGGGGGAGTCTATTCCACATTTTCTCAGCTCTAACTGTGAAGAATCCTTTCCGTATGGAAAGGTTAAACCTCTTTTCCTCCAGACGCAAAGAGTGCCCCCTTGTCCTTTACAGTGACCTTAAAGTGAAAAACTTGGCACCAAGCTCACTATATGGACCATTTATGTATTTCCACATGGTGATTATGCCCCCCCCTTATTCTCCTCTTCTCCAGAGAGAACAAATTCAGGTCAGTTAATCTTTCCTCATAGCTGAGCTCCCCCATACCTCTTATGAGTTTAGTTGCCCTCCACTGCACTTTCTCCAGTTCCACAACATCCTTTTTGTGAACCGGGGCCCAAAACTGAACTGCATATTCCAGATGAGGCCTTACTAATGCTTTGTACAGGGGCAGGATTATGTCTCTATCTCTGGATTCTAGACGCCTCTTAATACAAGAAAGTATTTTGCTTGCTTTAGAAACTGCAGCTTGACATTGCATGTGGTTATTGAGTCTATGGTCTACCTGAACACCCAGATCTTTCTCCATCATTGACTCCCCCAAACATACCCCCCTAGAGTGTATGATGCATGCATGTTTTTAGCCTCCAAGTGCATAACTTTACATTTATCAACATTAAGCCTCATTTGCCAAATAGATGCCCAATCACACAGAACATTCAGATCTGCTTGTAAGTTGGAGACATCCTGTAAGGACTTTATTCCACTACATAACTTGGTGTCATCTGCAAACACAGAAATAGTAGTTTTAATCCCCAACTAAAGCCAGGGATCTAATGTTTATGTATTCTGTTCAAGCAAGGGAATGCTTGATTTGTGTATTCTGTTTAAGTCAGGGTTTCCTTGTGTTGTGTATTCAGTATAATTCTTTTAAATATAGTAAGTTTTTTTCTCTTTAATGTAATTAGACATATGTTCTTTCTATTTCTTGAGTGTAGGTAGTTTGCCAATCTTCAATATTTCGGTATCAGTCACTATCAAAGCTGAATTTAAAAATATTTTCTGGTAAACAATGATTTCCTTATTTAAACTATTTCAAAAAAAGTGTTTATCTTTAGTAAGCAGTGAAGCACCCCAAGTAGGTCTGAAATATAAACAATGTTCCAAAATGTTTTAAGTTTAGGGTAGGTGAACCACATATGCTTGTAGATTTCCTGGTGTGAACGTCTCCTCCAACAGATCGGGGGAAGTCTCTAGATCATATTTGGCTACATCTGCCAGAAATAAATACCATATATGCATAATTTTATACTGAAGTATCTCATACTTAGTACAATTAGATATTCTAAATAGTAGTATCAAGCCATCTCTTATTTTGTATTTATTTGATGGGACATCCAGATCCAGATTCCATTCTTCCCTTATTTTTAGTTGTTGTCTTTCAGGAGTATATGATATGTTTTGGATACTATTTTGTTAGAGTGGGGTTTTTATATACATTGTCAGATTCTGAAGCACTGTCTTTAGACATTTACTGTATTTAAATTTTGCCTCTTCATATTTTATTAATGTTGGGATTGTTAAAAAGAATACATTCTGAAGAATGTGGAGAAGTGTTCAACTATGATATTTCTTTAGATCTAAAACCAGGGATAGATTTATTACACTGATGACAGATTCTCTCGTCGGGCAATAGTTTAATTATACCTGATAGTAAAGAGGGGTTATGCACAGTTTGTTATATTGTGTGTTCGTCATCATTCAGTTTTCAATTGTTGGTTTAAAAAAAAGGGTTTTTAGTATAACCTGGGAGATGAGGTGAGAAGACCATAATGTTGGGTTCAATTGTAAGATTGTATTTACTGTATTATTAGATTTGATGTTTATATAGTCTTTTTTTTTATATGTATGTGTAAGTTAAAAGACAACTATGGCCAATTTTTTTTGGCCATTGTTCTCTTTTAGGTCACAGGAGGACATTTACTATGTCCTCCTGTGACCCAAAACTAAGCATATAGCGGGTTATTGCCCACTATATGCTGACAGCACAGAGCCGTGCTGCAGCTGTAAAGGATCCTGACAATTTGTCGGGGTCCACCGTACTACCTGATTGACAGCTGGCTCTGCTTCTCTAGAGCTAGCTGTGCCTGCCCCCTCCCCTGTCTGTCCCTCTAGTCAGTGCTGGGGGAATGGAGAAGGGAGGGGGAAATCAATGCGGGGAGTGATGACTGACAGTTACCGGTCTCTGCAGGGAAGAAGATCATGAACTCAGCAACTCAGTTCTCGAGCTATAGAGCTGATGCGTGGCAACTGGAGTGTCGGCTCGAACTATTGGGATGAGTGCCCCCCCCCCCCACCTTTTCTTTTTTTTCCCTC